CTAGAGAACTGTATATAAAGTTCGATAACCATCAATATGTTAGCCTCAACAACAACAAATCAAGTGTTGTTTGTTCTACCAAATTAGCTGTAGCTAAGAAAAAAATGGTTTTACATACATTGTCAACTTTTCATTTTTAAGTTTTCCTGATGAAGTATCTAAATCAGTTAACTATCTCAATGCCCTAAAACCATAGCAAAACATGGATTTATTTCCACATATTCTGGTAATAAGTTATGCGTCACTGAATGGTTATTAATGTCAAGATTACACTTTCAACCAAGTGAGAGAAATTTAAAAGAAATATCCAAAATTTAATGAAAAACAAAAATATATATAAAAATTTCAAAGAATCTTCTAATCTGCAAAATTTTGACATTTAACGTTTCTTAATAATTTCCTCTCTAATGTTTTTTTTTTATTGATTACTATGTGTTATTCTTGTAATTTTTGTCTAAAAGACATTTTAAAAGAGTGATGATAGTGGAGTTACTTCTTAAAAAGAAATACCAGTATTATATAAAAAAAATCTCACTTTATTCAAAAAAAAAGAAGACAAAAGTAACGAATAAAACACAAAAGGAATACACTTTTTTTTTTCAGATTTTACAATCATGTTATGTTCCAATCCTTTAAAATACGAAAAAAGGTATTAACAAAGGTTTTGTTGATGTTTAACAAAGAGTACAGGACTAATGTCATATCAAATACAGTATATTTATCCTTACACTATAGATAACACGTATATAAAAGGTTCATATTATCCAAGTTAAAATGGACACATTAAAAATACACCTTAATAATAATAAGAGCACAACAGTTACCTTTGCAATAAACTTAATATTCGTCCGATACTAACCCAGTTCTTTAGATAACAAACTACATTCTTACCAGCATCACTTAGAAAGACTAGTATTTAAATCAGATTATACCGTGATTCAGATATGACAATTTTTTAGCAAGCATACGAAGGATATTGGCAGTGTAATACAAAAATCCTTGTCTAAAAAAAGAAAAAATTCCTGAGACATAGAAAAATAATACTTGCTTATTATGGAGAAAATAAACTTATATAAATTACGTTTTGTTATTGATGTTTACTTAGGCATTTTAACAGGTCACATCAAGGTCAAATATGCATGTATTTCGACTACTAAATTCTGACTTACATTACACATTATATGTCCCCTGATCAGTACTAAAAGTATTTTCTCGGATGTTTCCCATTAGTGAAAAGAAACAAACCCTAAACAATTCTACCAGACTATAATACTGGAAGGTATTTAAATTACAGTTAATAAAAATTCCCTCTAAATACTACCCGTCATCTATTGCATGACAATTATTACTTTCATGTAGAACTGTTTTATTCGTTACCATACCTCTTGCTCGAAGTTGTTTCCTTAAACCTCTCATTTCTTTTAATGTCTTTAATTTGTTTTATATCAAGAAGTGTCACATCCAAGTGACAGAGCAGTGACCAACAAAAGATAATTAAATACAAATCAATTTAATAACTAGTACCTATTAGAGAATGATATATTTCTTCAGGATCAATACATTCGCACACTAACAGTTTAACACAGATCAGAAAACCAGTCTCATCAATCATCATGAACACCATATTTCTCCAGTATTTTAGACTTTTTTTTTTTTGGTTAACTGAAATTTTCAAGCATACTTACTAAACAGCATGACATAAAAATCAGCAAAAGATTCCTTGAAGGTCTAAACATCAACGAAAGTACGAGTAAAAAGAAGCATCTTTATCTTGATTTAATACCATCAGTAAAAGCACAAAACATTTTAAATCTGAATGTACTCTACTGAAAGTCGTGACAAAATATTTCCTTCTTAATCTTTTATGTAATTTTTTTTTTTAAACCTGCTACGAAAGTTTACTGTACACAAACTCTTGAGTATTTTTTACCTATCACAGAAATGCATCACAAATAAGAAACAGAAGCATACTACCCCCCCCTTCCTAACCAAACCTTATAAATAACTTACCTTCTGAGATGAAGATTTAACTTGAGAAGCACATTTGATAAACTATAAACTGATTAAAGTATAGTGTGTTAATTTTTTTGAGCAAAAAACAAAGTTTTAATGAAATACTATTCATGAGAATTAATTCAAATTCTGTTATTCAACATTAAATATGTGGTAATTTACAGCTTTGCAGACGGAATAAACAATCAGTAATCAGAAAACTCTAAAGCAAGAAGCTGAAAACAGACTGTAGAATGTTTTAAACACACAGATGTTACTCCATTCTTTAATCAGAATTAAGCCTCACACTGGCTATTTTGTTAGTCATAGGAATGCTTCAGTTGTTATTTCAATGTGATGCCAGAAGAGCACACACCATATAAACAGGTTGGCAGGTGAATATAAAACAGAATAAAAATAACGTATGATGAAGCACCCGAACAAAGCATGTGGTGGTATGAATTTTCTTAGTGTTCTGACACAACTACACATTGGAATAATAAAACATATTTTTTATATCATACTTACATCTTATTATGTACAAGAACTGGGAAATGATACAGGGCACTTTCTTGTTAACTCTGTTACAAGATAGACGTGTAACGTTTTAATGTCTCCCCGAGATGCCATCTACATTCTTACATTTCAAAGGACCATTTTTTTAACATTACAGGTTACCACTTCTCTAAATTAATATACACACATCCATCTTCAGTGTATTAAAATATGAAAATAACGAAAAATGTTGTAAAAAAATGTGGGCAACGTTCAGATTAAAAAGTTTTAGATGAAAGCAATGAAGGTTTTATTTGTTAAAGAAAAGGAAAATTCTATTTATTCTTCTCACCGTGCTATTTGTTTTTTGCAAATAATTTCTTTCAATCATGATTAATACTATTTATACAAAGAATCCTACACAGAATCAAAGATGGTCTTCAAGTATATTATACTAAAACCACTTACGTTCAGTCCAATTCAAAACTTCACTTAATGTACGTAATGTGTATCTGTTAATGAAAATCTGCACTAGTGGCTTGAAACACCGTCAAAAAACTTCTTAGATGGATTCAGACCATTAACAGCAGCTTTCAACCATGAAATATTTTTATATATAGGTTTTCAAAAAACCTTAAATCCTTTATTCCTAGATGGATTCAGACCATTAACAGCAGCTTTCAACCATGAAATATTTATATATATATAGGTTTTCAAAAAAACCTTAAATCCTTTATTCCTAGATGGATTCAGACCATTAACAGCAGCTTTCAACCATGAAATATTTTTATATATAGGTTTTCAAAAAAACCTTAAATCCTTTATTCATTCTTAACCAAGAGCTAATTACCAAAAACAGCTAAACGAGAAAGAGCCTGTAACATCTACCACTGAGCAAAGGAATGTTTTACAATAACAATGATATACACCTGTACATTTAACGTGTTTACATAACATGAAAGCACAAAACACAAACATGTTACATCAAAATTTCTTAGCTTTGGTCTGTATATTTCTAAACACACAAATCTGAGCTCTTACTGTATTGAAAAAAAAAACGTGTATAAAACTTAGTTTTCTTATTACACCTTAGTTGTCAAGCACCTCACAACTATAACTTAGACTGTGAAAGTTCAAATACACGATCCAAAAGATTGCGTTCTTTCAAAGAATGGTCTCTCAATAAACAAAAGACCACTATTTGAATGTATGCAGACTTTTGGACTGTTTTATGGACTTTCATAATAACTTTGTGGTGATTCATGGCACTCTAATGCCTAAAAATGGTTAACCTACTGATCACTGACAAGCAGTTTTAAACACAAAAGTTTTTCATTTGTTTCCTTTTGTTTTTTTATACCAGGTGCTAAATCTAGGAGATGATGGTTGGACCAAAATTCTCTCCTTTTCACTTATTCAACCAAGAAAAACAAGTGATCTCGGTAAAACCTGAATATCAATAGTCTTTGGGAATTACTTCTCAACTTCACAATAGAAGGAATATCTATCAGGCAATATGAATCAAGGTGGTGCTGGTGCTGGCTGGTGGGTTGAGGACCATTAGATGAATCAACTTGGAAGCAGGAGAAATATTTATCAGGCAACTTGGATCATGGTGGTGGTGGTGCTGGCTGATGACTATTAGATGAGTCAACTTGGGAGAAGAAATATTTATCAGGCAACTTGGATCATGGTGGTACTGGTGCTGGCTGGTGGGTTGAGGATCATTAGATGAGTCAACTTGGAAGCAGAAGAAATATTTATCAGGCAACTTGAATCAAGGTGGTGCTGGTGCTGGCTGGTGGGTTGAGGATCATTAGATGAGTCAACTTGGAAGCAGGAGAAATATTTATCAGGCAACTTGAATCATGGTGGTACTGGTGCTGGCTGGTGGGTTGAGGACCATTAGATGAGTCAACTTGAGAGAAGAAATATTTAATCAGGCAACTTGAATCATGGTGGTACTGGTGCTGGCTGGTGG